AATGTGACCACAAATTAAAAAATTAAAATGGATAAATTTGTCAATAAAATTAAAAAATTCTAATCCACTAGCGGTTTGGTACAAAAAGCTACATAAACTAGTTTTTTCAATCCGCTAGCGATTTGGACCCTAACCGCTATCCGCTAATTTCAAACCGCTAAATAAAAATTTTACCAAACATTTTAATTGTAGCGGTTTCGAAATATATAAATTTATCAAATACCTATATTTAGCGGTTTAGATAAAACCGCTAACCGCTACCTCAAAACCGCTATACCAAACGAGGCCTTGATCGGAAATGTTTTATCCGGTCCCACGCAGTCTAAACTATATTAAAATTAATACTTTTTTAAATCATATTTAATTACTTTATTTTGTTTATTTATAATTATTAAAAAATTTATTTATTATAATACTTAAATTTATTTTTTTATTTTTTTACCCTTTTTTATAATTAAATAAAAACTCCTAACGCATATTTAGATAAGTGTAAAATTAAAATATTAGTATTTAAGGTATTATTAAAATAAAAAGTTAGATAATTAAATCCAACCATACTTGTTTAGAAAATAAGACAATTAAATCATGTCATCTTTATTTAAAAAGTTAAATAACTAAATTTGATTAAATTGAGTAATTAAAAAAGCTTATTAACTTTCACAATTCAATATAGTTTAAAATATATAATACTTTTTATTAAGAGACACCATAAGAAAATGGACTTTTTATGACTAAAAATTATGGGTGATTTTCAATTTGTTATTAATGTTCTTTATATTTGTAATTAATTCAGTATATTAGTCTCTAATACAAATTTTCAAAATTCAATCATACAATTTTGACCAAAAATGTTATATTCAATAGCACAAGATTTATCACAATAAATAACATAAATTTGTAATATCAAAATTGTCACAATAAAATAATTATTGGTTACTGATAAAATATTAATCACACATGATTGATTTTTGTTATAGATTCTAAATTTTACTTATGACTAAATTTTTTCATAAATAACAATTACATTTTATGATGGTATATATAATTTATCACAAAAAATCATCAAAAATAATAAATTTTGTTCACAATTAAGCTACAATTGAACTTATGATATAAAAAATAAATAAATTTATGACTATAATAGTAATCACAAATTAGTGACAAAGAATTTTACTAAAACATAAAATTTTGATTAAATTAATTCAAAAAATTAAGACATTATAATATTAATTTATCATCATATATGTAACAGAATGTCTAATTATAATTATCACATGCATAAGGTATAGTATAAAACTTAATTTTATTTATCATATATCTATTTTTTTGAAAAGGGCAATTTTTACAAATATTGGAAACTAATTCTCAAAGAATCAAACATTAAATATGGGGTAGTGTTCTCAATAATAAACAAGTGGCTAATCACTTAGAGTACATTTGGAACCGTGGTTAAGAGTTTTTTTTATATAATTGTATAATACTTTTAGATATATATGTGTTTGATATTTTTTTAAATTGTTTTTATAAAAATTACAAAAAATTATAGGAGATTTATTGTAATTTTATATATAAATCATAACTTTTATTTTTAAGTTTTATGGTTGTGACTTTTACAGAAAATATTTAATATTTAATATAATTACAAAATTACTCATTAAAATCTGATTTTGTATAATTTAATTACATTATAATTTTTAATATTTTAATAATGATAACAAATTTGAAAAACTTAAATTATTAAAAAATAATAAATATTATCTTTTTTAATAATTATATAAATTACAATATTTTTTAAATTTTAATTAATAATTAATAAAATTTATCATATTTTATCCATAATATATTTAAAAAATAAATAATTAAATATTAAAATAACTTTCAATTATAATTACAATGGAATTATAATTATAGTTACTACTGTAACACTTTTACAATAATTTCAAAAATACCCTTAATCTTTGAATAATTTATTATATGTATTATTGTTAGATATCTAAGATATTTATAATCTTGCAACGTGTTGATATCTCCTTTTTCCTTTT